GTTTCTAGGTGTAAGGAGTTTAGGCCTTCCACATCGCTTATTTCTGCCATAATTTTCACCCTGAGTTAAAACATTTCTCACAGCACGTGTAGATCGATTTATAGCTGCTGAAATTTGTATTAGAGATTGTCCTAATCCTTTTAGTTGGTAAATTTCACGTATTTCCAACTCTGTTAGTGTTTTTCCACAAGGCATTGCTTTAAATCATAAAAAACCGTTTAAAATTGGCGCCACATTTTTAATAATGAATGATACTCCCCTCTGGTGACAACTAATTAAACTAATAATTAATAAAAAAATTATTATACTAATTTTATTCACATGTGTTTATACTTTTGAAACACTCAAAAATTGAAAATCTCTGATAATTGTTTTTGTAATTGTCAGATTGCTCTAAAAATTTCAGAAAATGTTTAAATTGATGTTGTAAACAACATACTAATATAATAAATACATTACAATTGTTAATGTTTTAGTTATTGAAAAATGTTGAGTGTGTTTATAATTTTGAAACGGACTGTATATTTTACTCAGGACATAAAAATGACTACCAATTTATTTATTACTATTTATTTTTAACTTTCATAATAATAAAAATAGGTCACAATTATTTTACTTTTTATTAAATCTTTCATGAACCCCCTGACATTATCCAAGCACTCCCAAATTAATTTTAATTTGCCACAGTCCCCACCAGAGGTTCTAAGGACCCCTCAGGGATCCATAGGAACCATTTTGGGAAACAGTGGTCTAAATTGGATTAATGCTAAATTAATGATGCTTGTTAAAAGCATCATTAATTTAAAAAAAAATTATAAAAAATCCTTTGCATATCACTGACATTTATTTGTATTACTGATTTTTCCTAAAATCATCAATGGCATACATGCTTCACTTTTAGTTTTCTTTTCTTCATTTTCATTAAGTCAACTCGTATTTTAATTGATATTAGGCACAATTACCAGAACTTGTATCTTGAAAGCTGATAAGTTTTTGGTGCATCCTCTTCTTTATATGAAACTCAGAAAACAATTTAGAAACTGACTATCAGTTTTAATATAAGTTAAATCTTTAGATCAACCAAGAGCTACAATTGACTGTCAAGCCAGTATCACTGGATATTGTAGAGTGTGAGCAACTTTCTTAGTAAAATCAGCAATGATGATGTTAATGACAATAACTTTATTTCTTCTAAAATCAAAACCAATCACACTTTTCTAACAAATGTATTTAATTATTAAACAAACAAACAAACTTTTTTGGTTTATTTTATAAATCTGCATATAAGCTGACTTTATTTACTGCTTATTTATTCTACATGTGGCAGGGTAATCATTCTCTCCTAGAGTTACACTAATTATGTTGCCACTCCAGACTCATCTTGACCTAGATGCTCTTCAAATATCAAGTATACTACAGATATCATCGACATTAAAACATTTTTCTATTTAATTTTTTTAAACTTTATTTTTGCAAATATTATTATTATTTTATTATGTGATGGTGTTGGAATGTATTCTATACAGAATATATTCCCACTGCTTAGTGCTATGCTTGACCAAAATCAAAGGTATAACTTCATAAAACAATATTTTGTTTACATGCTGTTTATGTATGTAACTGACAAGTGAGTTTAAGAATTTCCTGATGTGATGCATGTGCTGCAGTGAAGTTCTGGTGTTTTGAGATTTTTGCATAATGTATGTGGTAAATGCCTGTGCAAGAAAAGACTACTGGCATAACACATACTTCATCCATTTTCCACAAACATTTTATTTCATGGGCAAGTTATGAATATTTATTATTAATATTAGTATGTTTTCTTTTTGTGTATTTTGTATATTGTGAATGCTTGCTAGAGCTATATGATATATGTAATTTTGTTTTGTTTGTCAATAAATGCAATGTCTGATTTGTTGTGATGAATTGCTTCACCTATGATTATGGCACCATCTTAGTATATTTTGTGAGTGTTGTTTTTTTCTATGACAATCTAAGGCATGTATCTGTAGTATGATTCCTGGGTGTATAATAGTTTGTGTTTGTGTGAAACTTTCGATATATTATATTTGCTATTTAATAATATCACTATAAGTAGTCAGTACATTTCCTGTAGTTTGTTGTATTATGATCTAGTCTTGTATGACAATCATAAAGCCTTTCATCTTTCCAAAGAAATATTCATGAGTAAGCTAACAGTTTGACCTCAACAATCTCAGTCATGATCAATATGATCATGACTGAGATTGTTGAAGTGTCTACTGTGGAGCTCTTTCCAAGCCCAAGACTGCGCGATGGTGTCTATGCATTTTGTGTACTATGTTAGATCCAGGTCAACAGTGTGTAAATTTAATGATTTACTGTTTTTGTCTGCAAGAGTTACAGCTTTGTGTAATTGTAATGTTTCTCATTTTCTGCAGAAAAATTCTCACAATATCTGTATTTGTAGTGCACGTTTACTATATATATGTGAGGCATCATCCTCCCTCTTCATGAACAAGAGTCAGCTTTTTTTTAATCATCTTACAAAAACAAAACAATGAAGTTTACCTTTTCCTCATAGCAATGAGTGATAATTCCTGGATATTTTTTACTCAACCATCGGAAGAAAGCTGGGACACCCATACCTAAAAATTCAAAATTATATAAGTATTTATATATACAGAAAAATAATGCTAAGATAAAAAATAAAAGTTTTAAAATTTCACATTTAGTCATCTAAATAACATCTAGTGTTTTCTTTTGACAATTCTTTCTAATATAATAGAGATCAAACATACTTTTTTCAGTAAGTATAGTCTCTAAATAATGAAGTTCATCTTCAGTCCTAATTCTTTTTGCAATGCTTGGCATTTTATTTCCAATTAAACAACAATGACACTCTCACTTTTTACAAGCAAAACCCAATTATTCAATAGAAAGAAATATACAAACAATTGTATTTTCAGAATATGCAATGCATTTTAGTTTAGCCATCTGATGGTTTTTCTTAGCAGTGAATATTAAAGCATTTCATCCAATCAATCTATGTCAGATATTCCATTATTGTAATATCTAATTACATTTGGTTTTTATCTAAATTATGAAGTTATCTTACAGTTGGCCCATATAAAGAGTTTTATATATATATATATATACACACACACACACACACACACAAACTATGAAATAACTCCCATAGTTATGTAGGCTGTTTTTTCAAGCTTTGATAATCCATAAAAAAAAAAACAAGTGTAAATAACAAAATGAATTTATTACCAAAAGTTAGGTACAAACATGATTCTTTTCGACATAATCACTGTGAAGATTGAGGTATTTGTCATATCTGTGGATGAGCTTTTCCATTCCCTTGTCTTAGAATGTTGCCAAATAACACTTACGTAAAATCTGGTAACCGAAGTGGTTGTGTACTAGGGTAGCTAACATTTTCAAGGCCCCTTCTGGGCTCTTCTTCAGGCTATTGTGCAAAAAGAAGTCGGATGTTGTAAATTGAATAATTTCCCTTTTCTTAAAAAGGAGAACAGAAGAGGCCTCAAAAATGTTAGCTACCCTAGTACGCAACCACTCCAGTTACCAGGTTTTACCTAAGTATTATTTCTATATCATCCCGGTGTGTGAAGACAAATAATAGAATGTTGCTGCCAATGACTCGAGATGGGCCCTAACGCTTCTTTCAAGATTGTCATTAGTCTCAAACCTCTGCCCTCCTAGCCACTTTTTCTGTTCAGGAAAGAGGGGAAGCCACTTGGCACTAAATCAGGGCTATACACTGAGTGTTTAAAGGTGGTGAAGGCTTCCAACTTTCAGACTTCCACCCAGCTTAAAACTTTTTAATGTGTGAAGACTTCAACCTCTTTCCTGAACTGAAAATGTGGCTAGCAGGGCAGAGGCTTGAGACTAATGAACTAATGACGATCTTCAAAACAACGTTGTTAAGGCCATCTCAATTCACTGGTGGCAACATTCTATGACAAGGGGATGGAAAATCTCATCCACAGATATCACAAATTCCTCAATCTTCACAATGATTATGTCAAAAAGTAACCATGTTTCTCTAACTTTTGGTCATAAATTCATTTTGTTATTTATACTTGTCTTTGTTTTATGAACCATCAGTGTTTGAAAAAAACCACCCTCATATTTACAAGTATGGATAAAGAATAAATGCAAAGTGAGTATTCGATATATAAATAACAAAATGTCAATTTCAGAAAATGGCATCAAGGAGAAATTCACTCAATTACAAATCAGCACTTAATATGTTAAAATATAATATTCATCGTTTTCACACAAAAATTAGGAAAACAACCTTGATACAGTAGTGGATTACCCAATACACTCACTAGGCTCATGTCTAAGGCCTCATCATCTCAAACAAACTAAAAAAATACATAGCAAAAAGATCAAATCAAAACATTCCAATTTTCAATGCTGACTCAGCGCTGATCTCAATGTTCGTTAAAAGTTGTTCCTTTTTTCAACGTTATTGTCAGCGCTATTGTCAATGCTGTCTCAACAAACTCAGCACTCAACAGATATGTTGACTACTACTTTCCAATGAATTGTGGGTAATTGGTAAGACATTTGAATGGAATCCATCTTTCTGAGAATGGAATTATGGGAACTAAGCACTTTGTACTCGAGTTGGAACGTCATTGATGACTTCATCACTCAACACTCGCATTGAAAATTGGAATGTCCCGTATGCCTCTAAATATTTAGTGAGCATTTAAAAAACTTGTTTTTAGTTAAGGAATCGGTAAATAAAATTAAGAGAGAGAGAACATTGGTGTATCGCTTAAAAGTAATTATCGAGAAATCTACTGTCTTTTTAATATAAAAAAAAACACTTACATAAAAAGCCTTATCACAAAATTGCAGCTAAAGCCACAAAGGAACGTAATCTGCTACTGTCTTTATGTAGAATTTCTTTAATTTAGTAATTCATTTCTTTATAAAGCATGCAGTATTATCATCTCTCATGAAATACATTCAATCGAAAAACAGGTGTCACTAAACAAATCACGCTTACTTATTAAAATAAACCTGGTCCGTCAATCTAAAATATCGATTAAAGTATGTTTTCTTCCTCTATTGATGAGTTCGTAATATAATAACGTATTCTATTGCTTTAATTTATTCGCTTTATTTAAGTACAAAAATTTATACAAATTACGTCATTCGATTTATTAATTTAAGAGATCGAAGCGATATTAGGTATCAAAAAACATGATTTAACTTTTATATTTTAAATAAATTTTTTAACAAAAAAAATTTACCTTATTTAAGAATCGTTAACAAAGACACTTCTATACGATTATAGTCCTAATGTGCTTTATAATTTTTCTAGTCAATGATTGATGCCGCCATTTTAACCATTCCAACAGTGTTGCCAGGACCATACATAAATAAAATTAATTTATATACTGTAATTATGAAAAAGTAGAGTACTTATTTTTCATAAATAAATACAGTATAGAATTTAATCCATATTTATAAAAATTAACATAAATGAACCTTATATTAAAATGTAGGACATTAGAAGAAAGAGAAAAAAATATTTTTATTCTAAACAATAAAACGACAATTTCACATTTCAATAAAACAATTAAACTTCAAACTTTCTTCAAAAATATATTTTCTTAAATTTTTATAAAATTATGAAATTGTTTTAAGTAATTTCTAATACTAAATTTTAAAATAAGAGAAGTTATAGCCGAAGTTTTCATCTCTAAAACGAGAACGTCGAACGTCGAGCGCCGCTTACAAGATAGCAGCGCTCGACGTTCGACGTTCACGTTTTAGAGATGAAAACTTCGGCCGCAACCATTAAATTCATTAGAAACGAATAAAAATACAGTATTATATTACTACAAAATATTATCTAGAGTAGTAGTTTCGTGTGATCCCAACGTACTGTTTGCAGAATTCTAGAAGTCCGCAATAAGCATCCAGAAAATTTCAAATCCACGTTGCTATAAGTTAAACACGTGATTCATACAGCAGTTTTTATAATTATAACATATATACCTTAATTTATAATAGGCTTTTTGTGTATATACAGTACTTGCATACTATTTTCGCATATAACTAACAGAATATAATATGAAAGTAGTTACTAACTCAAAGTCGACTGTATGAACGATCATCAAATATGTTCAATATGCTGTTATACTTAAAGTTATGAATTTTATATATCCGTTTATGTTTNGCAACCTCTCTGTTGGATGAGTACGAAAATGATGAAGAAGCCATTTTATTATATCATATCACTAAAGCTATACCTGTGACAAAAGTAAGAATGAATTTAAATGAGATGACAGATTCTGATTGCCTGTTTTACTCGTATTTTCGGTAAGTGATTACATTAAAGTAAGAAATAATAATAATAATAAAAGGAATAATGCTTATAAAATTTTAAAATATAAAATTATGTATCTTTTACAAAGATTAGTTTATCCTAATAGACTTGATGATATTTCTGTTTTCATGGGGAGAACAAAAAGTGAACTTTCACGATTTGTATATGAAATACTAAATATAATTTACAATAGCAGTTCCAAATTTTTATTGAATATCAACGAAATAAAACTAACAAGAGAAAAATTAAAATTATTTAGCCAAATTATAACAGCAAAAGGTGCTCCTTTGACAAATTGTTGGAGGTTTATACATGAAACGGCACGTCCTATTTGTCGACCAAAAAAACATCAAAGGGTAGTATTCAGTGGCTATAAATATACACATTCAATTTCAATCAGTGGTTACACCTGATGGTATGATCGCTAATTTATTTGGACCATTAGAAGGAAGATGCCACGACAATGGAATGTTAAGAGAATCTAATTTGTTAGAGCATCTAGTTGCGATTCCTTGTTCTAAGAACGGGATCCAATTTGTTTTATATAGAGATTCTGGTTATCCTTTGCGCAGGCCCGTCTTTGATACGAGCGAGGCCCCGGACCAAGAAAAGCTTGGAGGCCCTCTTAAGGAATTCGTAATGGGAGGTTAATGTTCATAAATTTTTTCAATTAGCTTTCTCTGCTAAATATATTGTTATATTTATGTTTAATAAAATTTATCAAACATATCTTTTGATTGTTCACTGTTTATAATAATTTTATTACTTGTTGCTATATTGAATTTTACATATTTTTGAGGTCTCGAATGTTAGGAGGTCCCTGGGCCCAGGCCCGATAGGCCCACAGCTAAAGACGGGCCTGCCTTTACGTCAACACCTCATTACACCATTCCGAGGTGCTAGTTTAATACCCGAACAACAAGTATTTAATTCAAGGTTGAGTTTAGTAAAAGAGCGTGTGGAATGGGTATTTGGGAAAATAACTCAAATATTTACTTTTCTAGATTTAAAAAAAATTGAAATTGTTTCTTCAGCCTGTTTGTAAACTTTATATAGTCCGTGCACTACTTACAAACTATCACACTTGCTTATAAGGCAGTGCAACATCAGATTATTTTAATTGTTTATCCCCCAAATTGGACAAATACTTGAAATGTAATCGATAAATAAATAAAGAATTTTTCAATTTTATAAAAACTTAGAATTTTTATTCAAAGTTTTCATAAGTAATTCTAATAACAATCCTCTTTCCTCTTCGTCCTGCTTCTTTTTCTTTTCTCTCTAGATCAGAGGTGTCCGACCTTTTTGTTTTTCTGGGCCGCACTGGAAGAAGTCAAGGAGTTCGGGCCACAAGTACATATAATATATACTTGTGGCCCAGTATACAAGTATATTTAAAAATTAACATGTCTAGATTATAATAATAACTGTTAAAAGTTTATCAAGAAAAAGGATATTTTAAAAATTACTTCTACAAACACTTTCAATTTTTACTTAGAAATAGATAAATAAAATTTTTAGTTAGAAATTTATTATAAAAGAGACAAACGGAAATTTATTTGAAAAACAAATATTTGTTATATTTGGGTCTCTAATTAATAAAAAGCGACGAAACACCATTTTAAAGTGTATTTTTATTCAACTAATATAATTATAAATAATATGTAGCCCAAAAAGCAGCCAAAGCGCCAAATGATATTTTTTACGTCAAACAAAAAAGCCACATTTGGCGTAATGTAGCCAAATCTTGCAACGTTGGAAAAAATACTAAATAAAGCTGTAGTTGTGAATCAAAGAATTATAGACCCAAGTGCAGGGAAAGGAGAGAAAGGACAAAAGATAAAAAAGTGAGAAAGGTTGGAAAATTAAGGGTCCATATTTGCTTAACAGAAGATCTATTTAACCTTTCTCACTACTACATCTTTTGTCCTTTCTCATCTTTCCCTCCTTTTCCCAAATTTGGGTCTATAATCCTTTTAGTCACAACTCCAGATTTATTTAGTAATCCTTCCGTATCGGTGGCCGAGTGGACTCCGTCTCCGCTTGATAGTGGTGACCAGACCATAAACACCGGAGTTCGATCGGGGGTTCACGCCTCACTCGGACGAGCTGGCAGCAGAAGTTTTTCCGGGTTTTCCTCCTTGTCAATGATGCCTGAATAGGGGCCAGCTTCCCCTCCAAGTCCTCCCGGAAGCCATTCTGTCTCCCTTTCTCGCGGGGGTCGTCTCCTATAAGGCTAGATTTGGTTGCTTTGTGATCTCTCTCCTATCTTCCTCGGATTGGTCGTCTTCGATAAGACCACTTCTTCGGTCGCTGTGCGACCAACCACCCTGTTCCTTCCGGAGTGATAAGCGAAGAGCAATAACACTCCACTATCGTCGATGAGATGAGAATCCTTCCGCATTCACACATCTCCAAATACTGTATTTGAAAATATTTCCTTTCCACTCAAAAATAAAACATGAATAAAGGTTTACTTCTTTTTTTGAGTTTATGCCACTGAAATAAATAATAAAAAAATTAAAACATTTTGTCGGTTTTGTTTACACGTTTATTGGGCCGCATTGGAACTTGTCTTGGGCCGCGGGTTGGACACCCCTGCTCTAGATCATATCTCGATTCTCTCTTTTTCCTCTCTAAATGAAATTTTTTTTTCCAAATCTAATTTTTCTTGTTCCAGTTTCAGTCTTTTCAACTCTACCTGTAGCTTTTCTATATTTAAATTTAATTCTTCTTGTTTCAACTGAAGCTGTTGGTCTTATTTGCTTTTTAAGTATGAGACAAGAAAGTTTTGTTTTTTTTGTTTTTTTTTTGAGAAATTGGTATCTTCATCTAAAAATAATATATTTTTAGAAATGTATAATTATTATACAATTTTTGTAGTAATTATATTATAAAGAATTTTTAAGTTTTTATATTTACCAGAGGAAACTCGGGGTGATGCTGTTAAAGATGCCATCGCCACATCCCTGACTTGCTGCCCAGCAATGGCTTGCGGTGTTTATTTCTCAGTTATCTGGGCCTCATATTTTAACTCTTATTTCTTGTAGAAGTTCATTACGTTCTGTAATTTCCTCTTCTGTTCCAGATTTTCGCAAACTGGCTTGATCATTCTGAAAAAACTGTTTTAATATACTCTATTTAAAATAATTTAAAAACAGGCTAGATTCTATATCTGGGAGGCAAGATGGCCGTCTACTACCCAAAAGTTAATACCTTGTCATAATACTGTAGAAGTAAATTTGTCCTTTCACCGTCGACAGCGTAATACGTTTGTAAATTTTCAGATACAATTTTCAACTTTCGGATTTTCATGCGCAAACGGATTTACAGCCACTACTTCCCTCAACAAAAGTACGTCATGACAACAGGAAAAACATATTGGGATTTTCTTACTGTATCTTACGGTAGGAGCCACAACGCTAATTAAAGTCAAAAATAATTATTTAGTGTTATTAAACATCCTATAAATATTTTAAAATAGTTTAATTTGTTAACAAATTTACCTTCGCTGGTAACATTCGTCGTTCTTAAACGTTTCCGCCATTAGTCATTGCGCGACGTGAACGTGTACTTTACTTGCTGTACACGTTTAAAGTTTGAACTTCGGTCGCAACCTCACCACAGTTTTAAAATTAATATAGTTTGATTGTGTTTTACAGAGTATTATTAATATCATAAATCCATTTTTGAGGCGGAGCGTTAGCGAAGCCTCTTCTCCGAGGCTTACAGAAATGTGTTCGATCTCAAAATTTGATCAATTGATTTCGATTAAACTTTGCCATTTTATATTAATTGCGATAATGAATTAAAAAAACGTAATTAAAAAATGGAGGGTTATGATTTCGTTTTCGAGATACAGTGGGAACAAAGTGATAATGTCCATGCTCCCTGACGTAAGCAGAAGATGGTAGTTAAGAGTTCGAGGAACACGAAATCCGAAATTGTATTCGTACAAACAATGATCTTGAGAGATATGGTAAAACATGAATTATTATTCTGGCAATAGGGATAACCAGATAGATGACATTTC